GGGAAATGGGGAGAACACAAGGCTACGCACGCAGCAGAGTTCAATCCTTCGAACTCAATGTGAGTACTGTTCACGTGTGTTATGTCATTTCTCCATTTGGAGAAATTGGTTTACAACTTCTCCAAAATCTTTAAGTGGTGAATGGAGATGAAATAGAAATTTGGAAAAATGAATTTAGTAAACAAATTTTCCATTTTTTTTCCACTCCAATTTAATGTTTTTTTTTTTTTTTTCAGAAAATTCTCTATTTCTCCACTTTAGTAAACAACCCCTTAGGTCGCCAGCTAGGTGTCTTATTCACTCTGTATTTCATGTGTCCCAACTAACAATAAAGATGGAAGACACCATTGACCTCAAGTTGATCCCCCTCTCACGGGTCTGGATAGACAATTTTGGCATTTCGCACTGAACCAATGGTCATTTTGCAGAGAAAATGGTGAAAAGAAACAATCATGTCCAGGTGGATGTTCTGATCCAGTAGGCGAATTTGAGTTTAGAAGAGGCAACATGGGAAGATATAGGGAAGGGATAATCATTTGAACACTCAATTGCCACAATTCAATCATTGAGGACAAAGAGATTGTTATGCTCCTAAGGACTTTTATGGTATTACAAGAATAAGTTGAGGAAGATTACATGTAGCTTTGTGAGATTTAATTTGGAGGAGCTGTTGCTTTGCCGGAAGCTAAGATGATCCGCAAGCGTAGGAGTTTGTTGAAATTGTTTTGTTCGCTATTATAGTTTATATTTCAAAGTTTGTATTTACTATTTAGACAGCAGATTGAATGAATTTGATGTCTTTTTTCAAGTAAATACCAGTAGACGTCCTTCGACTTTGGTGACACTGTCACTTTTAGTCATCAACTTTTAAATCAATCACTTTTAATCCTGTTACTTTTTGTTTCTAGCCATCGATCCTTCCGTTAAACTTGGTCATCTAATGCCATTTTCTCAAGGATAATTCAGTCCTTTCATAATTAATTTATTAATTATTATGTTTAATTTCCTCATCAGAATAATAGTCAAACAATGGTTTTTCCATGAACGTGTACAAAACAAGCTCGTGAATCAAAATGACGTACAGAAGCTGGTACGAAGATTGTGCCAAAAGGGCGTTGGGATATCTCAATATGACTCGGCAAGCTTTAAATTGACCGGGTTGAGACCATTGGGTGAAGACAACTTGGGATCGCACTCCGCGGGGTACGGTAAGCGGCGACGAATTCAATGAGAGGGGTGAATTCGTAGTTGTATCTGCAGCATTTTGAATTCGTAGGGGTGAATTGGTAGTTGAATTCAATGAAAGCGACGACGAATTGTAAATGCATATATGGATAGTGTATCTGCAGCATTTTGGCTATATATATATATATATATATATATATATATATATATATATAGACATTTTGATTCCAGAAAGGGCAAAATATTTTGATTCCATGACATTACATCCAAAATTTTTGGCCCACATTATAACTAAGCAAAACACTTGGGAAGGGCAATTTATATCCTGCACCACGGCTCACGTTGCATTGTGCGCCTAGATGCAAAACGACGTCGTTTTAATTTTTTTTTTAATTATTTTTTTTTTTGAAATTTCCCGTCCCAGTGTTTGGCAGTTAATTTTTCTTTAAAAAAAAAAAAGCCATGTTAAAAAATGTACATAATGTTATACTAGAATACACATAATTGTATACATGAATGTACATAATTATATAACAAAATATACATACTCTTTTTTAAAAGATAATACACATAATCTAACATATACATAATAAACATAAACTTTTAACATAATACACATCAACTCTTAACATAATACACAAAAAATTCCTGATTCGGATGTACATAATTGTATAAAGAGAATGTACATAATTGTATAAAAAATGTACATAATTGTATAAAAAATGTACATAATTGTATGAACAAATATACATAATCACAGCAACTTCCTACCGCGCCTCCCAAAACAACGTCGTTTTGGGAGGCGCGCGGCGCACAGTGCTACGCGCGCCGTGGTGTAGGGTATAACGATTGCTTGGGAAGAACACTATTATATTCTTATTATTATTTTTTTTTATTATAAGAAAGGGGGATACCCTACATATACACACTATTGCCTCAATTGAGTTTTGAACCTTACACCTCCCACTTAGGGGAGCAATCCAATACCAGTGGACTACAAGCCACTTGGTATATTCTTATTATTATTACTAGTTCTTTTACGCGCTTTGCGCGAATGGAATAATGTCCAATGATTATTTTTAAATAAGTATTTTAAAGTATATCAATGCAATATTATATCGGAGATGTTCATACATAGGTAAATAAATTAAATGTTGAATTTGTTTATTTAAATCGGTAATTTAAAATATATAAATGCAAGATAATATATGAGAGATTGATTATATATATTGTCACTAAAATAAATATTTGCAACTTTGTAATAACGCTAGTCTAAATACTTAGTCTAAAAATGATAGTCTAAATAAATACTACTTTTGGTTTAAATATCTCTAATTCTACTTTTGGTTTAAATAGTACTTTTGGTTTAAACGATAGTTTTTATCTTTCGTACATGTCCTTTTTTTTTTAATTTTTTTTTTAATTGGTAGTATGTTATGTGCAATTGGGTTACGGGCGGTATAGCATAGATGGATTCGTCATGCAATGAGATTATGGTGTAGGAAGCTTTAGATTTTCCTTGTTGTGTATATGATGGAATATTAGTTGTACTATTAACTATTTATCTTACAAGCACCTATTAATATTTGGTAGTTGTAGTTTTTCCCCTACATGTTTCATGCGTTGTGAGATGTGTGTCGTAGGTTATCATGTAAAAGTATTGAACAAAATATTAATATTTATTATATTTGTATAAAATACTTTTTGGTAAATAAATAATATAACATATTTTGTATTATAATTTTGATATTTTTGTTTTGAATGCTACTGGCTCTATTAACGCCTTCACTAAGGCTCAAACACACAACCTTCCAAATGGAAGTCCAACCCGGGTACCATTAGACCACATAGTCTTGGTATAACTTTGATATTTAATTACAAGATAATGTAAAAAGAAGACAATGGACAATATAGTAATATAATAAATTAATAAATTTGAAGGAAATGAATCTTTGAATTATAGAAAATAAAGATATAAATAATGAAATTATATCTGTTTTAAAAATTTTTATAATGAATAATTTTTTTTAAATAAAGGCATTATCGACATCTAATTCTAAATTAATTAAATGCATATGTATTATTTTTTGTTGTAGCTACTAATTTATTTAATTTAAGAAGAATAATAAATTGGCATACATACTTTTCATCAACAATAATGAAATCATTGATTTTTTTTTTTAATTTACATTCGTTGTTGAGACAAATTGTTTTGAGAGTTTGTCAATGACAATTGTTACAATTACTGTCAATAGATGATGATAATAAATAATTCAAAATATATAGTTACAATAAATATTGTTATAATGATATAGTAAAAATTAATTTACAAATTTCTTTTGAAGTTTTCATGCATTGATAAAATTCTGATGTGTAGACTTTTCAATTGGAACCAATAGAATGTCAACATTGTCAATTCTTTAGAAAATGGTCCTACCGTTTTAGAGTCCAGTTGTAATTATATTTATGATCAACAACTTTGTACTTAGGTCGCGCATGTTTGACAATGATGTAAGAACATTGTCTGATAAAAAAATAATAGTATAATATTTGTAAAGTAACGTGCAATTGTACCATTATAAAAATACATACAAAAAATATTAATACCATAACGACCTAAATCATACCAATAATGCAAAAATATAATTGAAATATTAAGTTTTGTTCTGATCTAAATAATCAAAAGAAGATTAATAAAATGAAAAAAATAAAAAGAAAAAACTTAACCTAAATTTTTTTTTAAATGTATAAAAATCAAATTATTTTTAAAGTTCTTGATTTATAATCTTTGATACTTAACTTTGAAAGTTATGTATTTAGTCGGACTAATTGTTTGACCAAAGTTTATGTTAAATTTTATATTATATATATTTTTAATGAGTGAATCCATTTTTGGTCCTACTGTTATAGGGGTCATTCCAATTTTAGTCCACCATAATTATTTTTGCCACATTGCGTCCACTATTATTAAAAGTGTTCCAATTTTAGTCCAAAAAGTGGACTAAAATTGGAATAAAATTGGAACACTTTTAATAATAGTGGACGCAATGTGGCAAAAATAATTATGGTGGACTAAAATTGGAAAACCCCCAATAACAATAGGACCAAAAATGGAATTCACTCTATTTTTAATATATTTTAACATATTCGTAGTATATGTTTAACAATTATTCCAACTCTAATTGTGATGGGGTTTGAACCTAAGACCTTTCTTATATAAATTAATGAGTAAGTTAAAAATAATAAATAGTTAACGGAATATTCCGTTACTAAAGTTTATACTAACGGAGTTTAGGTTATTTAAGGAAAGAAAATAATATAATAGAGGGTAAATAAGAAAAATCATTCAAAAAAATACAAAAATCAAACTAATATGAACCATTCATTTTAAGAAACAATAGTATCCACATTTTTTTGTTCCAGGACCTAACATTATTGACTCTTATTAGAATTGTAGATGTAGATACAGAAGGTGGAGGAGGATGAATGCACTCTTATTGAGTTACTTCCTCCCATCACTGTATGTCACGCCCCACTTCTAGGACATGACCCGGCCGTAACGTTACGCGATGACTTGTAACAATACGCAGCCTAACCATACATACCTCTCAGAACCTTGATAATAACACTTGAATACATAATAATTCCACAGCTAAAATGACAAAATATAATCAACTAGTTCTTCTCAAAAACTCATCAAATGCACTATTAAATATTTACAATCAAGAGTAGTGTGTCCAAAATGCATCACAAGCACCAAAACCAAACACAATGGTTTACCAAAAATAAAAAGGGTCAAAGAGAATAACCAAATAAATAAAAGTCCGTGATAAGCTCCAATACTAAGAGTAAGTCTCCTAGTTTCAAGAGTCACCTTCAAGACCCCACCACTTGTGCTCATGCTATTCACATGTCCTTAACTACTCTGAAACATGAAGAAAAAAATACAAATAATGAGCTAATGCCCAGTAAGTGGTACTCTTCTCACCCCGGATCAAGCATCCCTAATATAATACACTAAGCTTTAGAGTAATAATTAAATGCAAATCTCGATCTTTAAACTGTATCGAAGTCATAATACTTTCATCATACTATACACAAGTTCCCAAAACAGAAAATTTTAGCTACATGGGCCGTTCAACATTATTTCATAATGCAATATTCAAAACAGCAAATCATTCCTTAACATATGACTCATTGGCAACCTACAGCCACTATTATAACTCGTGGCAAAGGCCATTGTCGGCATAATTATTTAGAAAGACTCGACGATTCAGAATGAGACGGATGGAACGTTCCAACAAATAATTCAAAAGACTCGACGATTCGGAATGAGTTAGCTTGACGATTCGGATTGAGCAATATAATTAGGAACGTTCCAAATCAAACAGAACAAACAACAAAATGTAGATTGCCTCATGAGTTTGGCCACCCATTCATAATAGTTCCTATAATCAAATAGCCCGATGTAGCAAAAATCATTTACTTAAAAATCACATAACAAAGTACATATCCAAAAGTGATTTGAAATCGTAAACTAATAATTGTCAAATAAATTACTTGATCCTCTTTTAGAGTAAAACACCGTAGTACAAATCATGCACATACAAATATCACAACAAGAAAAATGCACATAGACAACGGTTAATAACCGTTGTCGTAGGGGTATAATTTCTGTTATTGAAGCCGGTGTTGTTGTAAGTCCCGCGCATAGACAACGGTTTTTTAACCGTTGTCTTTTCTAGAAACAACAACAGTTTTTTAACCGTTGTCTATTAAGTGTTGTTGAAGCCGGTGTTGTTGTAAGTCACGCACATAGACAACGGTTAATAACCGTTGTCTTTTCTAGAAACAACAACGGTTTTTTAACCGTTGTCTATTAAGTGTTGTTGAAGCCGTGTTGTTGTATGTCACGCACATAGACAACGGTTAATGACCGTTGTCTTTTCTAGAAACAAGAACGGTTTTTTAACCGTTGTCTATTAAGTGTTGTTGAAGCCGGTGTTGTTGTATGTCACGCACATAGACAACGGTTAATAACCGTTGTCTTTTCTAGAAACGACAACGGTTTTTTAACCGTTGTCTATTAAGTGTTGTTGAAACCGGTGTTGTTGTATGTCACGCACATAGACAACGGTTAATAACCGTTGTCTTTTCTAGAAACAACAACGGTTTTTTAACCGTTGTCTATTAAGTGTTGTTGAAATCGGTGTTGTTAAAAGTCACGAACATAGACAACGGTTTTAAACCGTTGTCGTTTCTTTCAAAGACAACGGTTTTTGACCTGTTGTTAATTCAATGTTGTTGAAACTGGTGTTGTTAAAAGTGATGCACATAGACAACGGTTTTTAACTGTTGTCTTTTTCTTTAAAAGACAACAGTTATAAAATGTTGTCTATTGTGTGTTGTTGAAATCGCTGTTGTTAAAAGTCGCACCCATAAACTGTTGTCTTTTGTAGAAAAGACAACAGTTTCAAACTGTTGTCTATTGTAAAATAGACAACGTTTAACCGTTGTCTCAACTCGTTTTTAACCTGCTTAAATTTTAATCATATAAAAAAAATAGAAGCATTTATCCATTCACCATGGCCAAGTGCAGTTACATTGCACAAGCTAAGCAAGGTTCATAATAACAAGTCAAAATACTGAACATGACCAATTCTAATCAAATCATCATCCAAGTCATAATACTACAAAAAACAATTCCGATCCACACACTAAGTCTAAATGATCACAACGTCAAATCATACCTGCTCTATATAACTTGATAGAATATCAGCCCATTCTGAACGCACCAGATCAATAACCGCTTTGTCATAATCAACTTGTTGGAACTACATGTAAATAGTGAGTAAATAAATTAGTATAGATATAATAAATTTTTAAAATAATTATATGATTTTTGACAAGACCATGACAACAACAACAAAATTAACAGATACTTAAAAAACATGCAAAATATTATTATAAGAAATAACAAACAATAATCATTGAGAGCAATTTACCTTGCTCAATGAACACAGAGAGGCCAAAATCAGTTGCCTTCAAAACAATCTGCCAAAAGCTTAAGGAGTTCCAAATGTTCAAAATTGTTCTTGTAGCTGTTGGTGGAGAGAAAATTGAGCACTCATGAGAAATACCAAGTGACCAATACATTATAGAAAATACTATGTGCTCCCTTCTGTTATTAGATGTATGTATCAGAAAAAGTAAAGTATCAAACTCGGATTTTCTACCATGCAACATAGTTACCCTTAAAGATGTAAATCCATACCTCCCGTTTCTTTGCAAGTTCTTCAGTCTCCTCAAACTCAATATCAAGCTTTTTTCGCTGGATGTTTTCTTCTTATGTAAAATAATCATCTTCATCTTGCTTTCCAAGCCCTAATTTTGCATCTCGTATCCCGGACTTTATTGGCTCGATGATGCCTTGAAACAAACAGATTGTAAAGAATTAAGAAAGAGACAAAAGCATTACCAAATATGGTTCTCCTCATCCATAAGAGTTAGATGCAAAGTGGACAAGAAATCAAGAAAATCATGCACAAATGGCATTTTGAAATTTGAAACTAATGCTAAGTTGTAAACAAATATTATCCTCTGGTAAAAGTTTGCTCAACTATTAGGTTGTTAACAATAGCATCCAAATACAGAGCTTTGAGTTTTAACATTGTTGGCGAAACTTCCTTTTCTAGACATTTGGCTCAGGTCAAATCTCATGCCCACTGATATACCAAAATGAGACCACAAAAACAAAAAAAAAAAAGGACCAATGCACACAAGTTTTGTGTGCAATTTAGTAGGAATTATACTGGGTAATGGAATTTCTGCATCTCACTCCAAAATCCCAAGTTGGAACCATATTTCAATTTTAGACCAACAATTAGAAGTCAGGAAAGAGGGGGAAACAATTATAGATACAATGGTTAGCAGAAAACTGAATTTCATATTTTTCAGTCCGCACTGATGAAACATTGCATGGTTAGCCTTCCAGAATTGATAGAATTCAGTGCAAACAGTTCATTCTTGCAGAAACAAAGTCAGGTTGGGAGGGAGTATGCAGTGTTTTCATGTACTAAAAACACTCAACAGAAAATGAAAATAAGAAATACTCAAAAACAGATCAGGCCAAAGAGTAATGCAATATAAAGTCAAAAACTAGAACAGATCTCTGTATAGGCAACGTAAACATACACAGATCACTGCAAAGGTTTAATATATGAGGTTGCCTAACCATAATATATCTGTTGAGTTCAAGCATGACACATTTTAGAGTGCAGACAGTTTCACCAGCACCAAAAAACATACAGACAATAATTTTATACTCCGTATTTATCTAATATTTTGTTAAGTACAGAAAAACAAACAGAAATACAGTGTTATCTCTCAAAATAAAATGCCAAATAAATAAAAAAAAAGTTTGACAAACCAAGAGAAGTGTGTACACATACCTCATTGTCATGCTGCTGATTGTCAGGTTGCATCCCTAGTTGACCATTAAACCATCTATTTTCCATTTGCTTAAAAATATTCAAGTAACAAGACAAATAATATAAACACTACAACTACAAAATCATTAATATAATGTGGCAAAAATAATGGAAAGACATATATAGTGCTGCATATATAAGATTAATTAAGCTTAAATTACTTTATGTGTTAGAATGTAAACCTCTAACTTTATGAAAAAGACAGAACTACCCTGCAAGTGCATGCCCCAGATTCCATGAGTCCACTCACCCCTATTAAACAATGTTGTGACTGCATTTTATATACCAATAATTAGAAGAGAAGGCACATGAGTTGTACCACATCTTGAGAGAAACTTGGTGGCCAATTAGTCGGTTTCAACATAGAAAGAAGAACTTATGAGAAAGACACCCAATGCTTTGAAAAGAGCATAGAAGAATACCAATGAAAAAAGATTCTCTCTTTCTCTACAACATTCCACATTTTTTACAGTCCAAAGTTTAAACAGTAATAACACACCAGCCAAAGTAATTTAAGGTTTCCTCTAGGGTTTTGACTTTTGCAGCTCTGAATACCTTACCTCTTGTTCATACAATAATAGCTTATATATCAGAAGAAATCATTTAATAAATTCTCACTTCTCAGTAATATATACCCACAAAATTCAAGAAATTTTAAGTACAAAGCACAGCTCAGTTCAGACTTCAGAGTTCAATGTGTGAAATTCCTAACTAAGAGCTCAAGAAAACTAAAATGCATAAAAGAAAGTATACTAAAAAGGGAAATTTTTTTTTCTCTCTGTATCTCTGTTTAAATTATTCAAGTCACTGGAAATAATCACAGCATTCATGGAGATATGTAATGCTTAAATTCCCTCAGACAAAAATAAATAATAAAAAATTACGTACAATCTTGCACATACATGTATATAGGTTGCCACCCCCATTACTTACAACAACCAACAAATTGTTTTACATATCTGTTCTTCATAGAAAATTTGCAGAAATTCAAACCCTAATTCCCTAACCCTAGCTTAAATCCAAAATTGTTTAGCATAAACACACACATTGATACAATCAGATAATTTTTGGATGAATTTGACAACTTATTAATTTTTGGATAATTTGAAAGCTAACCTTAAAGTTTTTGGATGAATTTGAAAGCTAACCACGGTGGCGGCGGTTGGACCGACGACGACAGAGGATGGAGGCGGCGATGGCGGCAGAGGTTGGACGAGGCGACGGCGTTGGAGGTCGGATGCGGCGGCGGCGTCTGAGGAGAACGGCGGTGGGCGGCGACCACTCTGACTGCGGAGATGGCTAGTGGCGGTCGGCGGAGAGCACTCTGACTGTGGAGAGGAACCTAAACTAACGAGAGTGGCGGTCCGCGGAGAGGGAATTGAAGCTCACTGATCGACGACAATGGCGGGTCAGCGGAGTTGGTTCGGTGATGTCTAAAAGCAGAATTTTGTCTTAGTCAATGAAATTGAATTTCGTCCACAAACTTGCCAATGATGTCTTAGAGGGAAGAGAAAATTTTGGTTACCAATTTTGTCTTAGAGGGAAATTTTGTTTTAGAGGAAAATTTGGTAAGAAAATATTAGTTTTATTATCCTGGTCGTTAGATCTGATCAATTAAAATACAATTGTTATGTCCTGGACCCGTGTCCAGCCAACAGTGTGGACACAGTAACGGTACCGTTAGTGGCACCGTTATCTTCCACTTTTTTTTTTAAAATAAAAAATAAAATTCAGACCGCTTATTATAGGAGCATACATAATCCGTAACTGTACATTCATAATTCAATAACTGTAAAGTCATAATTTTCGAAGCTCTATATATTCACAATTTTATAGCTCTATGTTCATAATTTTATCACTATATGTTCATAATTGTAAGTTCATAATGTCAGAGCTCTGTGTTCATAATTCCATAACTGTACATTCATAATTCCATATTTGTACATTCATATATAATTCCATAACTGTACATTCATAAAGTCATAATTGTACATTCATAATCCCACAAACGAATAACGCCGTTAACGGCGAGACAAAATCAAAGTTCCCTGAAAACGATGTCGTACGTTTTGGATTCGTGTCCACAATGCATTGTGGACACGGATCCGAGGCATAATTTGCGATTAAAATAGTACCGGGTATATAGGTACATAACACGAGATTCATAGATTTCTTTAATGTAGATTCATAATTTATATACAGTATATTTCTAATTTAAATACAATTGTATAGATTCATAATTGGGAATATGAACAACGCAAATTATGAACATAAAGTTCTGTAATTGTGAATATAGATCAGAGTTCAATCATTATGAATATGAATTTCAATTCAAAATTTATGAATATATAGTTTAGCTATTATGAACATAGAAGAGTGTGTACCATGCATGGTGCACATGGTTGCACAGCATAATTTGCCTTTTAGTACCCCGAGGTTTATTACCGACAACTCGCGGCCCAATTATATTACAAAGAGATCATGGCAAAAGAAATGGGATATAGCTAACCAATCGTTATGCTATGGACCCGTGTCCACAATGTAGTGTGGACACGGTAACGGTACCGTTAGTGGACTTTGATCACTGTACGACATAATTTGCGATAGCTAACTGTACGGCATCGATCAACTACTCTTTCATATTCATTCTCCACGTGTCTCAATTTTGGGTGCCCAATTTTTTTAAAAAAAATATTATAGATATAATCTATTGTTTTTTATACTTGATATTTTTATTTTTATTTTTTTTGAATTCATAGATTGGTCTTAATTGTAATATAATTGAAAATAAAACTTTAATGAATTGACTTTGAAATTTTGGTGAATAATTTTATATTTAAATATGAACGAAAATAGAATTATTAAATTAACTTTTGAATTGTATTCTTTCTTTGTTAAATTTTTATGCAATATATTTCGACAAAAAATTTTAATTACATTTTTATTCTTGTTAACACTCAGGGTATAATAGTTAAAAGATAAGGTGTAACACTTTAGCATACAAGAGTTGGTGTGGCTTGGTGGATTTAGCTTTGTTTGTTATGTTAAAGGTCTTGGGTTCTATTCTTTGTGGTGGCATCCTTAACCAATTTTATACAATGATTATCTTGGTTCTCAAAGACAACACATAAGCAAATTGGTTATATCAAGTATACTAGTTTACTTGAGTACATAAGTGTTGGTTTGGCTTTGTGGGTTTAGCTTAGAAGTCTTAGGTTCTATTCTTCCTAGGTGAGCTTTCAACTATTTTCTAAAATTGTTTTCTTGGTTTTCACAAACAACACAGAAGCAACCCAGTTTATATACGAAATGTTGCACATTCAAACACAAGAGTTTATGTTGCTTAGTTGGTTAGACTTTATTTATTAAGTTTGAGGTCAAAGGTTCAACTCTTGTTATTAACATCCTTGTTTTTGTTTTATACAACTGTTAAATAATGATGCGCAAAGACAACGGTTTTTATAACCGTTGTCTTTGTAGTGTTGTGTATTCAAATACGCTTAAAGACAACATACCAAAGACAACGGTTAAATAAAACCGTTGTCTTAAACAAATAAAGAACGCGCAACGACAACGGTTATATAAAACCGTTATCGTTGTAGTGTTGTGTATTCTAGTGCGCTTAAAGACAACACACCAACGACAACGGTTAAATAAAACCGTTGTCTTTAAAAAAAAAAAAAAGAGCGCACAAAGACAACGGTTTTAAACAACCGTTGTCTTTCTAGTGTTGTGTATTCTAATGCTCTTAAAGACAACACACCAACGACAACGGTTAAAAAAACCGTTGTCTTTTTTAAAAAAAAAAAACTCACATAGACAACGGTTTTAAAAAACCGTTGTCGTTGTGGTGTTGTCTTTTCACAAAATGCACAAAGACAACACACTTATAACAACGGTTAAGTAAAAACCGTTGTCTTTGACAAAAGTGTTGCATCAAAGACAACGGTTTTGGACCAAACTGTTGTCTTTTATACAAAAGACAACACTTTTCTTAAAAACTGTTGTCTTTCTAGTGTTGTCTATGTGCATTTTTCTTGTAGTGTATAATAAAAAAATAGCCATGTTCATTTATTCACAAAATCCAAACTTAGGTATGCTCAATGATATCTTTAGTCAAGTTTAACAACTCAAAAACATAGCATAGCACAAAATACTTTTAACTCATACTAACCCTAGAAAGGGGTATTCAAAGTAGTAGAGATTCCAAAATAGGTTATGAGATTTGCAAAATAAGGAGAGAAGAGTTAACCACTTACCTAAAACATCCAAATCTTAGCTATTTAGCTCACCCAAATACTCCTAGTCAAAATTCCTAATATTTTCCAACATCAATCTTAGGGTTTCAATGATAAACCAAACTCAAAAAGAGTGAAAAATGGATATCAAACTCACCTAGAATACTCCCAATAACTTGAGACCTAAGCGTGAAGAAGATGGAGATCAAAGCATCAAGGTTTTCCTTCCCCTATCTCTCTCTAGCCAATATTTTCTTTTTCTTCTTTCAAATGAAATGTTCTTCCAAGATAAAAGGAATTCCTTAAGCTTTAAGTATAAAGAGGGGCAAATTAGTAATTTATCCAATATCATCTTTTAATAAGTTTTGACTTGTTGACCTCATTTAATAACATAGATATATCTTTATTTCTAAAGTAGTGGGTATTACACTGTAAGCGTATGCCAATACCATCACTTCTCCTTCTTTCCTTCTTGCTCTCCTTTTATCGTCAATTGACTTACTACCTCCCTCGCTACACTTTCGTCTGCCCTCTTTACACTTCCGCCGTGAAGAAGCATTTGAGCCACCAAACTTCGTTGATGCTCTCTCTAAGTCTCTATCATCACTGCCTCCTCCAGACAGTTCAACATCGGCAACGAATCGCAAGGGGAGGAGGATATAACGTTGCTTCACTCCCAAATCGCAACTACGAATTCACCCCTCTCATTGAATTCGTCGCCACTTATATTCCCGCGGAGTCCGATCCCAAGTTGTCTTCACCCAATCGTCTCAACCCTGTCGAGTTAAAGCTTGCCGAGTCATACCGAGATATCCCGACGCCCTTTTGGCACAATCTTCGTACCAGCTTCTGTACGTCATTTTGATTCACGAGCTGGTTTTTTACACGTTCATGGGGAAACCATTGTTTGACTATTCTGATAAGGAAATTAAACATAATAATTAATAAATTAATTATGAAATGACCGAATTATCCTTGAGAAAATGACATTAGATAATCAAGTTTAACGAAGGACGATAGATGGCTAGAAACAAAAAGTAAGAGGACTAAAAGTGATTGATTTAAAAGTTGAGGACTAAAAGTGACAGTACCACCAAAGTTGGAGGACGTCTGTTGGTATTTACTTCTTTTTTTTTTTTTTTTTTTTCCTTCATTTCTTCTGGTTTTCTTCCATTTCTTATGCTTCTCCCTCATATCTTGCTAATGTACTAGAGTTTGTCCTGGAAGGAAAGCTTGAACATTACATATTCCTTCATAATCAATATGATGCATCGGTCTCTTAACTTGAACTTTGCTAAAAAGGGTTTTCTAGTGTCCACTTCCACACACATACGAGTAAACTTTCCCCTTGCCTCCATACTAAGTGGCTTGATCTACTAGGTGGCTTTTATCAAATCTTGTTAATTGAAATTTAAATAACTCGCTTTAAAAAAAAAAAAATCTAAATAACTCTATTAAGAACTTTGAGTATAAAAAAAATTGTTGGGGTAAGTGAATAAAACAATAGAAAGATCAGAATATCGAGAAGGGAAAGAATTCTCTTATTGATAAATTTAAAATTACACAAATTCAATTACAAATGAAATAATATAAACCTATACATAGGCAACAAACTTGACCCTTCGTTCCATGGGATACTAGACCCTTAGTTCATCCAAAAGATAATATAATTGGAATAATGATTATACATTATCAATAAAATATCCATAACAAAAATTATATTTTTGAATTTTACAAATTATTTTTTATTTATTTTACAAATAAATACACATTTCGCTCAGTTTATTTTACAATGATATAAAAATTCACCGCAAACACACATTTCGCTCAGATAGGCATTCTTACCCACTGTTGGTTTCTCTCTTTCTTTCTTTCTTTCTTTCAATTCAGGTTCGTCTCTTCCTCTGTATCTTTCTTGCTCTACCCACTGTTTCTTCATCCTTCTCATAAATAGCTTCTTGCTCTATACTGCAATCAAGATTTCTTTATAATTTACTGATAAAATTCTCGGTGAAAGAATTCAAGTTGTAGTGTTCCGATTCTGCGCTTCATTCAGTTTCTTGAATGCAGAATTCAATTCCATCCTGCAATTTTAGATGGTTTTCAACTTCAAATTCAAAAGATTGTTGTCTTTAATTAGCTAGCTAGGTAGTATTCATTATATTATTTCAATCTATTGAGTGTTTTACTATACGTGTTGGTAAGAAGGGGTGAAGATGGCTACCAATGGCAGTAATGAAATAAAGATCAATATTAGGATAAGGGATTCCCAGCAGACATTGCGAACATGTAAACGTGTACGTAAAACCCTCTGGCTCTTCTCCATTTTCTCTTGTCTTGATATGCTTTCTTTCTGCATTTCCTGATCATATGCATATATATTTTGGTACGAACATATATGCAGTCTCCAGTTCCTATTTTGAAGGATCAAATTGCTTGGTATACTGGCGTTTCCTCAAATAGACAACAACTTGTCTTCCGGGGAAGAGATTTGAGAAACGATAAACGTCTTTCAGATTACAGTATCCCCGGCCCCCTTTCATTAGTTATGTTAGTTGTTCATATTATATATCATTCTGTGTTCCCTAATGAATCTACTAATAGATGTGGAAGATGGTGACACTCTACATCTGAATATCATTAATTTAGGTACGTTTGCTCGATTGATCCGCTCTGCTTTAATTAATTTATACTACTGCTCTAATTAACCAAGTTTTGTGCTATATATGAGGATTAGATGGTGGATCAAGTTCTGGGCAGCATCAAGGCAATAATCATGGTTCAGGAATCCCGAATATATCTGAACCGGTAAGTATATTTGTACGTTATGTTAGTCGGTCTATCTGCACTAGCTAGATAGCTGGTCCAATTAATGTTATGAATGTGCCTTTAATTTGATATGGCATGCAGTTTGTGCGTCCTTTACTTGGACGGCCACTAGACGGTGCAATGTTTCAGATTTTTCAGAGAACAAATGAGGAGGATGATTTTGATCGTACGTATTGTGATATACATTATGACGAAATCATAAGTGGGCAGTCTAGCCAAAGGGAGCTGTGGCGAGCTTTTAATGTTGGAAACTCTGATGAACAAAGAGTCTATGGATTAGGTGCTGTGATTCGTGGACGTTTTAACAGTAATTCAAGAGATTCTCAGCAAGCATTTGGTCAGAGTTATTATGTGCCAATGCCAAATGCTACTGGACTCAGTGGAGGTATTATTATATTGCCTGCTGCACTATCTTCGTGTTTAGCCGATATGATATCTATTCCAAAACTGAAGATCGAAACATGGACAATCTAACAATAATTCTCCGACTCGGGCTGATTTAGCTGATCAACATGGACAATCTAACAATAATTCAAGAGATTCTCAGCAAGCATTTGGTCAGAGTTATTATGTGCCAATGCCAAATGCTACTGGACTCAGTCGAGGAGGTATTATTTATTGCCTGCACTATCTTCGTGTTTAGCCGATATGATATCTATTCCAAAACTGAAGATCGAAACACCTTAACCCGCAAATTAATATATAAATTCTTCTGCAGGAGAAGGCTCTGTGGCACCTGAAAATGCTGGTCCTCAATATACAATACCACCACTTCAAGATTCTTCAGCAGAGGTATATATATAAATATATGTATATATGGTAACCTGCCATAAAGTCATGTAATTGTGCGAATGTATTCCTCTCACGTCTGATCTGGATCAATCGTGTCTAATTCTTATCGGACTAGGTCCAGGTTCGAGAGCATACAGAGTAGCCAAACCCCAAACGCCAAAAGGTTTATAGATGAATTTATGGTCTAGTGTTCATAGTCCTGTTAGTTCCTGCTCATGCTAATAGTTCTTGTGCTTCATGTTGCAGAATCACTGAGACTCACTTTGCAGCGTTTGATTTGATTTGACTGAGCCTTTTGTGGATGATTTTGGTTGTTAGTTGAATAATAGTTTGTTTTGATTTTTGTGATGGATGGATTAGAGAGATGTTGGAATTGAAGGATGTATGTAGACAATGATTTTAATTTGAAGGAGCAACATTATAAGTGCAAGTATAAATAGCTTTGTCATATCTTTGACTCTTGTTACAAATTTGGGAGTTAATACAAAATTTAGTTCGTTCTTGACTAAATTTAGATATGTATCTATAATTTTGTCATATTTCGTCATTGTTTTTTATGGTACTTTTCAAATTTAGACATTTATTACTAATTATTACGTCATTTTTTATGCGCGGAAGGATCCCATTTTGTACTTTCAATTTGTACTCCTATTTTAAACTTTCTATGATTGGACATGCTTTGATTGCTCAATTTAGTATAGGGCTATGATGTTTATCCATTCATTTTGTTTCTTCCTCTAATATATCAAATTTGAACACAAGTGAGAGTAAAAGTTGGGAATAAAATTTTGGAGAGTTTATTACTTAAATGGTCCCTCGGCTATTGCGAAATTACCAATTTGGTCCTCGACAATTTTTCTTACCCAATTAAGCTCTCGACTTTGAAAATGTTAACCATTTTGATCCTTCGTTAAAATTCCATTCATAAACTGTTAAATTTTAGGACAAGAAGGTAATTTCATATATTTTATTTATTAAAACTTTTCTTCTTCCTGTCTATCCACTCCTTTACTATTCTGGGAATCCACAACAATGATCATAGCTTCATTATCATATCATTAAATCATCATCATCCATAACCATCTGAATAGCATCACCATCATCTTATTAACTCATAATCACCATTAATCACACCCAAACATCACCAATAAACACCATCAAATTATCATCAAACTTAATCACCAACAACATAATCATGCATAATCCTCCAAGCCTTGCCGGAGCTAAGATGCCACTGCCGGGCACCACACATTGCCAGGGAACTGCTTACGCCGGACCTTCGCCGACGGAACAAAGGTCATCGCTGCTGCTCACTACCTTTCTTCGCCGAGAGAAACTGTGTTGTTGAACAAGAGGGAGAGTCACCATCTGATGTGGCCCAACATAATCAAGATCCATCAAGGGATAGTTATGCTGTGAATCCGTATGTACCATGCATGGTGCATTCGGGTGCCAAAACGACGTCGTTTTATTAAAAAACGCACGTTTCCCCTTTAAAAAAAATTCAGGTTCGATTCCCAGCAACAACATTATATTGTTCATTCATTCTGGAATTTTAGTTCATAGATTATGGAATTATAGTTCATTGATTATGGAATTATAGTTCATCGATTATGGAATTGTAGTTTCATCGATTCTGAAATTTTAGTTTATAGATTATGGAATTTTAGTTCATTCATTCTGGAATTTTTAGTTCATAGATTAGATTATGGAATTATAGTTCATCGATTATGGAATTTTAGTTCATATGTTGTTGCTGGGAATCGAACCTGATTTTTTTTTTTAAGGGGAGACGCGCGTTTTATTAAAACGACGTCGTTTTTGCATCCGTATGCACCATGCATGGTGCATACGGATGCACAGCATAATTTGCCTCCATCAAGAGTACCAATTGGGCCAATCACAATGCCCAAGTCCAAACAATTAAGACAACTCTTTATTCAATCATTATTGCATGGACCATGGTCCACACAATTATGTGGACCATAAATAAAAAGTACATTTTTAATATACTAAAAGTACATTATTATAGGGTACATTATTTTAGTACTAAAAGTACATTATTTTATATATACTATCAAATAATGTACCTTCAGTACACAAATAATGTACCTTTAGTATATTAAAATGTACCCTATATTCATGGTGCACACAAGTTGTGTGGACCATGGTCCATACAATATTTTGCCTTCTTCATTGGTTATGTTCAAAGATGGTGGAAATCCAAGTCAAGTCCATTTGCAAAAGATGAAGAAGAACTCAAGCACTGTTTAAGTGCTGATTTTAGAGATTAAATTAGGCCCAAATCCGCCTTATTGTTTTTAGTCATCATTATTTTAAATTATTTGGCATGAAAGAGAAAACACTAGTTTATATTTAGAAATGATTCCTTAAATCCCTTTATAAATAGGACTATATTAATTACTTGCATTCTAGATTAGGTTTAGGACTCTTTTTCCCACTGTATTTAGGATTACAATGCTACCCTAAACCTATAAATAGGGCACATCCGTAGCAATTTGAGGCAGGCTTTCATTCAATAAAATTCTTAAGTTTTTCTTTAACTTGTGTAAGAAACCTTATGGTTAATTGTGGACTCAATTAGTGGCTAGTTCGTGGACTCAACTAGCAAATTGATTCGTGGACTCGAATCAATCTTCCTTTCTTCAACCTTAGATTTAGGTTCGTGGACTCGTTCTTGAATCGAAGGAAACTAGATCCGACTGATTGAAGATTGCATCATCGAGGTACTTGAAGCTACAATGGGATTCTTCTAAGTATTTGAGGATTCGGGACAAGGGGTTCTCGTGAGGTTTAAGGTACTTTGATCCATCTCTATCCTTGCATTGAGAGTAATCTTGAGATAATACTCCATCTTATTTGAACCTTAGACTAAGTTCATATCACCATCCCCCAACGCTTGCTCTGCTCGCCGAGAAACCAATCACCGCCTAACCGCCGCTGCTTCACCTAAACAGAAGAGGGAGGTCGCGTCCTGCTGCTCGCCGGGGAAAGGTTGCCAGAAGGAGAACCAGGTGTCATGGCTGATGACGGGAACGGAACCAGTTGGAAACGAGGGTTGTAGTGCTGCTAGCCAAAGCTGTAGAATGACCCGCAATCTGCCCTAATCATCGAGAAAACAGAGGTTGGCGGAAGCATGAGGGAGGTCACCGCCAAGCTTGTCGCTACGGCTGGACGTCTCCGCCATCACCAACCACCTCCCTCTCCGGCCACCAAGCTTTTAGTCCTTAAATTACATTTTTGTCCTTAAATAAAATATATGAAATTACCTTTTTGTCCTTAAATTTAATAGCTTATGGATGAAATTTTAACAGAGGACCAAAATGGTTAATATTTTCAAAATCATGGACTTAATTGGGTAAGAAAAATTGTCGAGAACCAAATTGTTAACTTCGCAATAGTCGAGGGACCATTTCAATAATAAACTCAATTTTGAGAGTACATCAAGTATTTTTCCAGTTTTCAGATAAAAAAAAAAAAACATTAACGATAAAATAATAATTTACCTTAAAAAATTCATGAATTAAATTCAAGTGAAGATGGAATCATGAAATTAAAATAAAATAATAGAAGAGAAGAGTAAACTTCATTTGTCTTTAGAAAATTAATTTTTATTTATTTATTTATTTAATTAGTGTAATCTCTTTACAATACTCGAATACATGTATAAATAATTTATTATGATAAAATAAATTTATTATGAATAATATATATATATATATATATATATATATATATATATATATATATATATATGGAGCTTTTCTGGTGCACACTCATACTTAAACGGGAACTAGTGGACTATTGTGGTGCACTGATATGAGAGATCCGACGTTGGCAGACTTGGTGCGTTGTAGTTCCCGTGCTCTGCGATGTAGGTGTGCATTTCTCGGTTTGTTGTCACCTAATTCAAAATCCTGAGTGTGTTTCCCAGTTACTAATCGTGAGTTTGGCATTTTTTCCGTTTCCCCCATTCCCCCCCCCCCCCCCCCCCCGCCCCCCCCCCCCCCCCCCCCTTGCGTGTGACGAATTGAGTGTGACGATGGGCATTCCTGAACCGGCGACGTCCGATGACCACGGCGTTACGTTCGGCATGCACCCCCCCCCCCCCCCCGGGGTGATCCAGCAGGTCCGTTCTTCATTTATACCGTACGTCGATTTCCGCCGCCTGTTTGTTTTTTTGTTTTTTTTTTTTTTTTTTTTGTTGTTGTAATCTATCTAGTAGATTGCGTGCAGTGCGTACTCCATTCTTATTCCTTTCCATTAGTAGTTTGGTTTTCTATAATACACAGCTGCAAAGATTCTGTCTATTACTCATCCATTTGAAGTTTAATCAAAAATCGGTTTAACATGCAGACTTGGATCCTACTGTTTTGGTTATGCCTTATTTGAGTAGTTAATTAACATGCAATTGGACCCTACTGTGGTGGTTAATTATTACATTAATTAGTTGCCTACTATGTTCTTAGAGAATACCAACCCACACAGTGACTCTAGGAATGTTAATTAGGTGGACATTGTGCATCAGCCGCCGGGCAATTAATACGGCATTCTCAATGCACAGCTGCATACAAAGTAATAACAAATCAAATTTGTGGACCCTTAGAATCTTGATTCTTTTATCAATTAGTACTGTTAATGGTGTTGTAATACATTTTTGCTTCCTAGAGTGCACCCCCTTTCAATAGATAAATATAATTCATATAGACATATCACATAACCACACTTCTGTGATCTTTTTTAATTGTCTTCTATGTTATAGGAATGTTATTTTAGTTCCATTTTAGTGAATGTTGTTATTGCATTGTTATTTGAACTACTCTCCTTGAGCATTTTGAGACTCCCTGGCGAAGATTACGACTTTTACTCCATAATTTGAAGCTTAATGCTATATTTAAGATTTTAAGCTGGGATGCTGATTTTTGTAATCCAACATCCAATTCGCATATGGCTTAATTGAGCTGTTTCGTTTCAGATTTTCCTTTACTTTTAATTAGTTAATTAACTAATTGGATTCACATTTGCATTTATTACTGGACGGTATGTTTAATATTTTAGTATGCATATTCAGGTGTTGTTAACTCCATTTTTTGCAGATGTGAGGGGGCAAGAGAGTGCAGACACGGGTGGGTATACCAGCATACCAGTCAAATATTGGTGGCCTGCTGTGGACAGTGCAATTACCCCGGCTATCGGTTACCGTTTCAAAACACTAGCAGAAGGGGTGTATTTCTATATCAACTACGCCAGGACATGTGGCTTCTCTGTGAGGCACGGCACCCTAAAACGAGGTCGTGATGGCCAACTAACCTCGCTTTATTTGTTATGCAGCCGGGAAGGAGTAAAAGGTGGTGGTCAAAATCCGTCAAAACCCGTGGTGGGTGGCAATGGTGGTTCGATCACTCAACGCAGAAAACGGGTATCTAACAGGGTTAACTGCAATACTCGGATCTGCATCACAAAGGACAAAGGCGTGGGGTTCATCGTTAGCATTTTTGTTCCCGAACACACCCACGGAGTTCCATAATTTCAAACGTGACCTCCAGTCATACGTTCACGACAAGGACAGAGAGATGATCATTGCAAAGTTCAAACAAAAACATGACATTTGTGAGAACTTTTTCTTTGATCACTATCTCGATGAAGAAAAACATCTTGCGCGTCTTTTTTGGGCTGACCACACCGGGCGTCAAAGTTTTAAGAGTTTTGGTGATGTGATATCCTTCGATGCAACGTATGGTACGAACAGGTATGCAAATGTTTACACGTTCATTGTGTTGATTCTGTATAGTGCATTATACACTAAATATATCGATGCAAATTAAGGGATCGTATCCGAAGTATTATCTATTGCAGTAATTATTATTATTATTATTATTATTATTATTATTATTATTATTATTATTATTATTATTATTATTATTATTCCCATTTCCCTGTGCACATGGTTTTCCTATGTTTCCTTTCTTAGATGACCATTCAACCACTCGCCCATCTATGTTTATTAAAGTGCATGCTAATCATACTTAATTGTAGTGCTAACTCATTACACTTGGTGTTAAGTGCATTGTAGTCATACTGAATGCTAGTGTAATTTTGTGGTAATTTAATAGTATTCATGCTAACTACCCCATGGGTGCCCCATTGGCGGCAACCCAATGACTACATTTGTTTCCAACATGCTAACGATTGAACTCTTTGTGCTGCAGGTACATTTTGGTGTTCGTACCTTTTACCGGGGTAGACCACCATAAACGCTGCATTACGTTCGCTGGCGGGTTGCTGACTCGAGAAGACACTGACTCATACGTGTGGGTTCTCGAGAGATTTAAAGCTGCAATGGGAAAGAGCCCCTTGTGTGTCGTAACTGATCAAGACCCGGCTATGAAGAGTGCTATTGCACAGGTATTGCCGGAGTGTCGGCACCGTTACTGCATGTGGCATATCATGACCAAAGTGAGCGAGAAATCAGGGGTTGAATTATCAAAAGAACAGACTTTCCGAACCCAGCTTAACAACGTTGTGTGGAATGAGACCATTGGCATTGGCGATTTTGAAACGCAATGGCAGTCGTTAATGGAAAAGTACAACTTAACAGGGCATCGATGGTTCACCAAGTTATACACAAAACGGGCGTTTTGGATTCCATCTTATTTTTTAGATTTACCCATGAGCGGTGTCCTACGTACCACATTGTAGCCTTGTCGAGTTTTACTATACGAGAGCGTCCTAGAAACGCAACGGCATAGACAAAGCAAACTAAATGCTGAGAGTGAGGGGTCCTTGCCTGAGTTCAAAACACCTTTAGCATTGGAGTGACACACAGCGCAGGTATTCACCCTAACAGTGTTTTATGAGCTCCAGCTAGAGATTGAAGCAGCATGTTTTTATTGTAAGGTTGTGGGGATCCGTGCTGATGGTGACTGCATCCGTTACGAAATTAAAGGGGAGTACAACGTTGTCCACACTGTTGAATATATGCCGTCTCGGAGTATTGCGTCATGCAGCTGCAAGTTATTTGAAAGAATGGGGTTAGTTTGCCGGCATATGTTTCTTGTGTTCAAAGATACCGAAATGGCGAGCTTGCCAGCGCGGTACATTGCAGCACGCTGGTGTAAGCAGGAAGGACTAGCTAATTGGTGTGCTCAATGTTCTGACTGCCCCCCTTTAGAATCCGGGCCTAACCGGTTGTGGACTGAGATACACAGGTGCACTGCGATGGTCGGAAGCAATACAGTGCGCCAAACGCGGAGGCTACAAGTAATAAAGTAACTGAGAAACGAGTTCTTGAGCGATGGTATGGGCGTTAACCCCTCAAAGGGCAACGGTGTTGCCATCGCGGCTCTTGGTGGTGTGGAGCCGCCGACGTCCATTACCATTAAACCTCCAGCTCAAGAAAAAAACAAAGGGACCGGCAAGCGAATTAAAAGCCAACGGGAGTTAGCCATTGAGAGGAGTGGCAAGGCCTGCAGAAAGTGCGAGGTGTGTGGCGAGTACGCGCATCATAACGCTCGCAGCTGTCCGTTAAAGTGATCAGTGCACCCGGACGGTCCATTATATTAGTTATATATTTGTTTCGTCCCTGGTTATTATTAAAGACATCGGAGTTCTAGTCAATTTTATTTATCGTACGTTTCAATCCTTCGTATTTGGTTATTAATAAGAACATTGGAGTGTTTGTCCATTTCATTAGTTCATTTTTGTGGCGATAATTGCCCATGCGCTGGATGGTATTTTTTTATTGTCTACATGTTTTTATCACTCATTCCTGGATATTAATATAGACATCGCAGCTCATGGCTACATGTATTTGAGTTGTTGCATATGTTGTGCATTGCAGCGGGTTCGTGCTTCATATTGACCCACCATTAATTATATGGCATTACCATTTGGAGTTAGGAATACCCCATACACAACATATTACTGTTGGTTAGTGTTTTTTATTATGTTGTGCACATTATACGTGCGGGTTTGTGTTGTACTTCCACCAAAAAAGACCTCTTAATTATATGACATTACCGTTCCGAGTAAACGACACAACATGGTCTGGAGTTGTGGTACATGTTGTGCACTGCAGTGGGTTTGTGTTTTATATTCCCCCAACAAGCTCGATTAATTATATGCCATGACTGCTGGCATTATCCCATTTATGCATATAAATTATTAGTGTGCTACCCAACACAACATGGTCTGGAGTTTTGGTGCATCTAAGTTGTGGTATGCTGGTGCATTTGCCAATACGGTGCCGATTTTGCATGACATACTATACATACCATATTACTGTTGGCATTATCCCATTTATGCATATAATTTATTAATATGTTACCCAACTAAACAGCCTTGTTCGGGACCTATTGCACTTGGCTCAAGCTATGCACAAAATCAAACAAAACTAAGCAGCCAAAATTACATTGCCTCCTACCACTATCATCCAACCTCCCACTATCTCATAACCGTTGTACACTGTGCTGCCCCTTTAAATAGTTGTTCGGTCCTATTGTGATCATACTCCTCTGCTCGTGTGCGGATATTGTCGATGTTGCCATTGACCGTACATAGCAAGATGTTGTGCAGAAATCTCGTTCGCATATTTTCAATGACCGCGGTATCTCCCGTCCCCAGCCCACACTGCCAATATCTGGGATCTTGACTAACAAAATCTTCCGTGTGCCTCATTGTGTACACTCCAGAGTCACCGTTGATAGGGTTGTCAGGCCATGCCAACTTCATCCTCTCGGGCTGCATGTTTCTCAATCGTAGAGCTCGAACAGTGTGCTGCTTAGTATCTAGGTACACGGCGAGGAGGTCCCTCTGCAATCAGACATAAGATAAGAGGGTGTGCGAGTATACATAACCAATAGCATTCAGTGTTGAGAGTGCGTGGTGTTTACCAATTCATCTGGTGATGTACCGTACACCTCTGTATCCATGTTGGTCGTTGGTGAGCTGTCGATGATGACAAACCCGTTGTGCTTAAAACTTATGCACATCACGTATAATCGTGCCTTGTGGAATATGGGGAAGAAATACTGCACAACACAAATTATATGGGTTAGCCTACGCTGTTCGCTGTGCGTTGCGGATTAAACTACCTACTTGAAACATGACTCTCATCTTACCATGTCCAACGTGGTTGTCCCCACGTGGCGGGTTGTTTGGAATTCAGTATCAAGACGCCGTTGAAACCACGTTACCCTTTGATCTCGACCGGCTGCGACGTTCACCGCCGTCCCAATCTGCGACCAATAACAGTTAGTAGATATATATAACCAATTGAAAAGAGTATGAATTAAATTGCATGGATCACAATACCGTAGCGGACGTTGAGAGAAACAGTCGAGAAGGCACCTCCCGACCCCCTGAGTGCTCCCTTGCATTGAGCACCGAGCACCATGCATCTACCACCGGTTTACAAACGTTCGTCCTTGCCTTTAACGATAAAAATTGTGTCCATTTCACTATGCGTGTGTCATGGCGGAATAGAACTTCATTCCTGTATATTGTTTTTTTTTTTTAGACACAATGCGGTTGTCACAGTTGGCTTTTATATGCTTGTACGCGAGATTCATGCAACTTACCGGTCACCGTGTGGGGAGTTGAACAACCACATCCAAACGACATAGACCGGTGGTAATGGCATGTTAGGGTACCCATTGCCGGTGCTGAAAAACATGCCACCATGCTGGTCTCCCGCCCCAGCGGTGGTCGTTGGCTGGCGATCTGGACACGCTCTCACCCATGGGGTACGGACTGAGGTGTTGACCCTAACCTAGGCCCTCCCCGCTGCGCCTGCACGGGTACCTGCACCTGGAAGTTAGGAAATACCACACAAATTGTGTGTAAATGCAAAGGCTTAACATGTTAACACTTTGCACCTGCTGAGTTAGTGTTTGTACAAACGACGGCCCTGGCGTGTTGCCGTTTGCCCCCGTGGTTGCCATCTCCTGTGTCAATCCCAGACTAAATGACGGTGGCTCAAACCCCCCTATGTCCTCCGATATCACCTATCCTGACTGTCGTGGTGGCAATGCCCGCCTTGCTTCCTCTTCCACCTAGTCTAGCTCCCTTAAAAATTGAGAGTCTTGCCAAAGATTGTCGTCTGGATGGACGGGCGTCGCAGTTTGAGGCTGAGCTGGTTGGGGGTCAGTTTGTGGTGTTCCCGTACGGGCCCACCTTGATAATAGATTTGCCACGTTGCCAACCCTCTGGAAATTTCGGTCCTCGAAGGCTAGTGTTTGGTTTTTCCTTATTGTTTCCGCAACCTGTGTAGCTATCGCGAGCAAGTCCCTAGTCATGGCTGCAAATTCTTGGTGGAATCCCTACAGGCAGACGGTTGGTTAGTAAAGGAACAATATAATAAAGTCATCCGAAATTTACCACATCACCCGTTGGTCATACATACCCTGGTAGAAGTTGCAGTGGGGACGTTGTGCTCTGTGCGTGCAGCCCCGGGACCTTCTCGGGCAGGGGGTTTCCTAGCCCGTGCCGCCGATGCACGAACCAGTGCATCCACCTGCAATTACACTAGTTTCATCACAAACAATCGTACACATAAATATTACCTAGTGCACCTGTTAAGTTGGCATACTGTAATGGCGGTAGGACCGGGTGCACGATGCCCAGCGTGCGAGCGTTGGTGAACCTGGTTGTCTTGTGGTACTTGTCGTGCATTCCCCTACGAAGACGGGAAACAAAAATGAACTACAATACTGATTTAGCACAAGGATAAAGTAAGACAACCCACCAATTTAGGTAGTAGCAACCCAACTAAATAACCTGAACAGGTAGCCACGGATTAACCCCAGATATGCTCAAGTGCATTCCAGCTAGTAGCAACCCATCACAAATGCACATACTTAATGACTAATAAAATAAAATAACACTAAAATCTAGGCAGCCTACTGGAGAATTTGTTTATCCTCTTTGCTGGCGGCCCTCTTTGTTCCCAAAATGCTGCATTCGCACGAAGATAAAGTACAATAAAACACCAAATTAGGTAGTGTGAACGGAATTAAATTAGCTAAAGTGCTTATGCATATGAAATGATTTTCTATACACATCTGGTGCATTCTGTTTGAAGCATCAAACCCCCCAGTGCATTCCAGCTAGTACTTACCGGTGACAGTTGTGCATACAGAATAAGAAATTAAAAGTGTAAAAAAATGAAACAGTATTACAATGCACAAATAGACTTTTCCCCCTTTGTGGTTTGTGCACTTGTTTTTTATAAACTGCCATACACTCAAATATTAGACACACAAATATTTTGAACCTATTCATGTTGTTATACATACCCCGGTAGAAATTAGAGTGGGGACGTTGTGCTCTGTGCGTGCAGTCCCGGGACCTTCCCCGGCAGGGGGTAACCCAGGACGTGCCGCCGATGCACGGACCAGCGCATCCACCTGCAATTAAACCAAATTTTCACAGCCACTCATACACATAAATATAAACTAGTGCACCTGTTAAGTTGGCATACTATAATGACTAACAAAACAAAATAACACTAAAATCTAGGTAGCTTCCTGGACAAATTGAACCAGTATGCACAAATAACCTTTTGCTCCTTTGTGGTTTGTGCACTTCTTTTTCATACATTGTCACACACCCCCAAAATATTATACACCCAAATATTACGTTTTTTACATTATTTCATCAACTTCAACTCCAGCGAGCGGTGAAAATAAATAATAGACAAA